CCATCATTCACAACAGTGGAGTAATGGCAGATTTGATGATGATGAGTGGAGTAGTGGCCAACATTAACAGGGAGACAAAAGGAGCTAACAACTCCACTGGGCGGTTAACAGAGGAGACTTGAGCAGAGGCACGAGCCACCTCTTCCTCCCGGTGGCGAATAGATTTGACAGACAACACTTGAGCACAATGAGCTACCAGACCCAAACGATTTTCTATCTCATTTTTAGTTTTTTTCTAGTCCAACTGGAAAAGCAAAATATGCCATTTTTTATTTGAAAATATCACGAACTGACTATAAGATTCATTCAAAATAGCACCACATATATGGCCAATTTCACAACCGCTTCACAAGCCAACTAATACCATCAATTACCATAGTTAACTAATTTGTGCAACAAAAGTTCACTGTTATTTGAAGCAAACCAAATTATATATTTGTAAATGAAAGAGTGTTCGTCTATTGGCTACCAAAACATGTTGACAACATTTTGAAATCAAAACATTTTACAACATTTTGAAAATTCCTATACACATGATAACCATAAGGGTATTTTTCTAAGTTCAATTCGTAAAGTTTCCATATATGTTTTGGTTTCTAAACTACATCAAATCAAGAAATGATCACTTTCTTTCACAAAGACAAATGGATGACTTGAAAATGATTATGATATTTATAGTAAAAATATGGGAAAGCTTAAATAGCAAATTGAAAAGATTTGCCAAAAGGTAGAGAGCAAATGGAAAATTTAAAAGGAAAATGATGATATTAATGAATGATACAAGATATTACAAACAATTTGAGGAGCAGCTTAGAATTTGCCTTGACTATGGAGAAAATGTTAGGGAGACATTAGTCTAATCCTGTCATGTTAAGTCAAGAAGATGCTTGGGAGTAAACTTCTCGCTTCATTGTTTTCTTGGGGCTATGGTTGTTGTCGCAAGGCAAAACTCATTACGATTCCACAAGGCGAAAACAAGCCGAGGAGGAAATAAGGAAAGAGATGGATATTATCAAATCTGATGCACAGCAAAATCTGGAAACTGCAGATATGAAAGTTAAAGAAACAATGAAGAAGGTTAATGAAGTTAAACTCTAAATTTGTCTAATTAGACTTTAGTATTTTAACAGCCTTAAAATCGTAAAAATATTTTTAAAATTTCTCACATCA